CTGGGACTTGTAGATTTACCCAGAGCCCTCCTATGTGCCTTTGCGAGCCAGCCTCAGGCACAGAGTTTTGCCCACCTACACCGCTTGCCTTTGTGCAGCGCTGGATGGTAAAGTCCTTTCTCAGGCGTTATCTCGGGATTTCCCCACCAACCCTGTGAGGTGTGCAGGCCAGGTTTTCTCATCCTTATCTGACAAGGGAGGAAACGGAGTTGGAGAGGCTACCCAGGGCCGTGGCCAGTTAGTGGTAAGACTGTGACTAGGACACCAGCCCAGATATAGGAGTTTGGCGAGTGAAGGGAAAACCCTCATTTCTATTCAGAGTTGTCACAGGCTCTTTGGTGTTTTCTAAGAGGAAGCTTTCTGAGGTGGGAGGACCTCAGGTGGCAGGTGGAGAAACAGGATTCGAGAAGGCAGTTCCTTGTCCAAGCCCACGAAGCTTTGATGGCAGACCAGGACCAGGAATCAGACCTCCTGACTACCAGGAATTCTTTGCACATTAGACTGTGGGTTAGGTATTGACTGTTGCCATCAGGGGAGGGAGGACATGCATCAATGTTTCATCAGTCCCATAATTTTTAAATTAGTGTTGGAAATGATCTCCATTAAAGATTGGATAGCTCCCTCTGTTCCCTCTTTGGATGATGCCCTGACCTAACCTTAGAGGGGTCCTCACTGTCACCCCTTCCCCCCATAATCTAGCTGGGTGACTTCTGCACCGTGGGGCCTGAACGTCTGGCTTTGGAGCCTTTCTGATGAGCAGGCAATGACCCGTCACTGTCACTGATTGCACCTGTCCATGAATCTGCTGGTGCTGTCTGGCCTCAGGTCTGACCTTTGTGTGTCTACTCTGGGTACAGTGACCAGGGCAGGCCTGAATGCAAATTTACACTCCTGTTATCCCCAAAGCCCAGGGTAATTTTCTATCTTGCTTCGCAAATAAATATTAGGGCAGTTAGATTGCAGACCCCTCCAGCAAAAATTGTGCTGGTGGGAAAGACCACACTCCCTTCTGTTTCCCTTTCTCCCTCCCTCAAAGAACTCCGGGAGAAGGGAAGGAAAAGGACAAGGAATAATAATGTGAGTAATGGCTGTGTAGTGTCTTCTTCTGGAGAGGGGAGGTGATCAGAGAACAACTGTAAGTCAATGTTTCTCAGCCCGGGCTGCACATCAGTCATCGGGCAGCTTTTAAGTAGAGTAAGTCCTCACTTAATGTCAGCGACAGATTCTGCAACTGTGAACAAAACAACGTGTAAAGAAGACAATTTACCATAGGCTAATGAACATAAACGAGTTAAATTTCAATAGCATCTCATCGTTTGTTATAGTAAAATGACAGTATTCAAGGACCTACTGTATCTCTATTCCCAGACTGCAGCCCAGACCCAGGAGATCAGAATCTCTGGAGATGGGATCCAGGCACCAGTAGTTTTAAATTCCCCACAAGATTCCAAGGTCAGCCAGAGCTGAGAACCACTGCTCTAAAAATGAAAAGAATTGGCAAATTGCTTAGAGCAGAGATACTCCCACAGCTGGCTGTGCACTGGAATCATCCAGGGGGTGGGGGGCTTTTAAAATTACACTGATTCCCTGGCCACACATTGCAGACAGTTTAAATCGGTGACTTCTGTGTCTAATGCCCGTTAGCCTTTACGTGAGCCACAAGCTCATAGTCATAATAGCCACCATTTATTAGTGCTGACTGTGGGCCAGCATGACAGATATCTCCAGTTTTTACAATTCCCTTCTACAGAGGAGGAAACTGAAACTCAGAGCAGGTAGCCTCTTGCGCCAGGTGACAGTGTGAGTTCCTGAACCAGACCTGTCTGACCTTAAAGTCTGCTCTCACTACCCAAAGCCTCATGGCCTGGGGGCTGGCCCTAGTGGGACATATTCTCTCCTCTTTCCAGTAACCGCCCAAGGAGAGAGGAAAACCAGCAAGTGGCCTTGGCTCTCCAGGGGCTCCCCAGGGGAGGCTGCGTGGAGGACCCCACCCCATGAAGAGAGGGGAGATGAGCGCTGCTGCCTGGTATTTGACCCCACGGTGGTCACCCCCTCTCAAAATGCCTCCATGTGGTGGGAGGAAGGTGCCTGCATGGCAGGCCTGGCCCCTAGTCACCTCTTATGCCGCAGCTGCTCTCACAAAGAGAAAACTCAACCAGGAAGAGCAAACACTCTTTTGGTTTTTGAGAGCTGGAGGAATTTTTCAGGCACACAATATAGAAAATGCCTTTGTGTCTGTCATAAGAACAGGGGCAGCTACACCAAGGTCACCTGAAATGTTTATTTCTGCTTTATAAAAACCCCGTGCCTTCACCTCTGTGCTCTGTAAGCTTATACAAATTGCTTCAAATCCTTAAGCCTTAGTTTCTCATCAGTCAACTGGAAAGAGGGAGCTCGGTCTGCCCGCAGGACTGCCGGGCCCTTGAGGTATCAGAGAGAGGAGAGGAGCGTAGCCATCCTGACGCTGAGACTCACAGCTGCCTGGACTGGAAGCTTCGTCAAGTGTTTGCTGGCACCCACTAATGGACCCGATGTCCCTGAGGCCCAGAGTGGTTCCAAGTCACCAGCTGTGTTAGAGGTCTTGCTGAATGTGGTCACTCCGTCTTTGGGAGGACTGGCTTCACTCCACCTACGTCAGCCGGGTGTCTGGACAGACATCAGTGGACAATGTAATATCATTCCGGCTCCACTAAGCCTTCCCTGCCCACCCCGGCCCCAGGTTCCTCTCCCTCCCCAGAGCTCTCTCTGTACCTGTTGTCTGGGCCTTTGGTCCCAGGCCTTACTCAGCACAGAGCCTGGCACAGAGTGACACTCAGGCAGCATTGGGTGAATGGAGGATGTGTATCTGGTGACATCTCTAAGGTGGTTGCCACAGCATGTTGGCATATTTATTCCTTGCTCACTCTACTTGACTTTTTTTTTTTTTGTCACTTACGTTTATTTTGACAGTTGCCTCACTGAGTATTATTCTAGTAATGGTATGGTTCAGATGTGATACTCTTTTCTGAGGTTCAGGCAAATCTTCAGAGCATTTCATTGTGTAGCTCTTACCCAGAGCACTAAGAGAGTTCATTATAAGTGTAGAGTCTGGTGGCCCCTTATTAAGCCATTAAGCTTAGCCCAAGACTTGCTGAGTTCTGTCTCAAGCCGTGGGCATTGTGGTGGCAAGGAAACACGGGGCACTGGTGGAAAATGGTGGAAGGGAAATGGGAAGACTCCCTGGAGGGGTGGCCAGCGGGCAGTCCCAGGGACTCAGAGCTGCCCCCACTGGTGGCCTGGGTGGGATGGAGAAGCAGAGCGGCTGCCCTCCCTGTGGGGTGGGAGCACTCAGGGCAGCGGGCTCAGGGCCGCCTGCTGCTCTGGCATGCACACCACTTTGTGGTCGCTGTCTTGGTCCACAGAGTGACGGATTTCCAGGCCCAGCTCTGACTCCTTTATCTTAGAGGCTTTGTGGACAGTGGGCTTGGTGCCCATCCCTGGGGCTTGGTTTTGCCATTAACTCTGTGATGGCCTCAGGAGAATGACTGGACTTCTGTACCTCAGTTTCCAAACATTCTACAACTCTGGTCCCAGTGGCCCTCGCACCGTGATGACTACCACTGCAGTTGTTGACAGTGTGAGGCTGCCTGCACCCCCAGGATCCCTGCCAGCCCAGCCTGCAGAGCCTCTGGCCCCATTACACATTACGTGAAGCTATTGTCTAGCTGCTTGGCTCATGTCAGGTAATTGAGGTTTAATTTGTTGGGAGGGGGATGGGAGCAAAGGGGCAAAAATTAGGCTATAGTGGCGTTTGTCACTCACCTCACAATTCCAAACAGACAAATCGGTACTTCTATCCAGATATGGGAGGCTCAGCTGGATGATTGTTACCATTAGTATTTTGAACATGCTGGTCTTTTTTTGGTTTTAATCCTCCCCCAAGGTTATGTTTTTAGTGATTGGAGAGAGAAAGAGAAAGAGAGAAAACTTGACGTGAGAGAGAAACATCGATCGGTTGCCTCCCATCAGTTGCAGCAACCAGACCGAAGCCGACTGGGAATCGAACCTGCAACCTTTTTGGTGTATAGGATGATGCTCCAACTGACTGGGCCACCCAGCCAAGGGCATGCCGGTCTTATTTGTTTTATTTATTTATTTGATCCTCACCTGAGGATATTTTTCCACTGATTTGCTATTTATTTATTTAAATATGTTTTTATTGATTTTTTTAGAGATAGAGGAAGGGAGAGAGAAATAGAAACACCAATGTGAGAGAGAAACATCGATCAGCTACCTCCTGCATGCCCCCCCACTTGGGTTCGAGCCCACAACCCAGGCATGTGCCCTGGCTGGGAATCAAACTGGGACCTCTCAGTCCATGGGATGACACTCAATCCACTGACACACCGGCTGGGGTCCATTGATGTTTTTAGATAGAGTGGAAGGGAGGGAGGTAGAGAGAGAGAGAGAGAAACATCAATGTGAGAGAGACACATCGATTGGTTGCTTCCTGCACAACCCTGATGAAGGCCAGGGATAGAACCTGCAACGCAAGTACATGCCCTTGACTGGGAATTGAACCTGTGATCCTTTGGCACAGGCTGACACTCTAACCATTGAACCACACCAGCCAGGGCATGCTGGTCTTTTTTGTTTTTGCTTTTAACCTTTCTATGACATAGCATACGCCTCTGTGCATTGTGATTTCATCTGGTGAATACTAGACTTGGGTTCTAGCTGAAACTTTGGAATGACAAGGCTGTGTCATTTTGGTCAAGTCAATGGCCTTTCAGGGCCTCAGTGTTCACATCTGTACACTGGAAACAGCGATATTAACAGTCCTTCTGGATTCATATGAACAGAAGGGAAGCCCAGTACCTGCCCCATCTCAGCCACTGGTTGATAGCCAGTTGGGGATGCTGGCTGGTGGCAGGACTGTCCTGCCCTGGCAGAGTGACTCTGCATTAGAGTTCCTGATGGCCATAGTGACACTCTAATTGTGTGAGTCTGTGTTCCCACAGCGGCCAGTTTGCCATTGTGAAGAAGTGCCGGGAGAAGAGCACCGGGCTGGAGTACGCGGCCAAGTTCATCAAGAAGCGGCAGAGCCGAGCCAGCCGGCGGGGCGTGTGCCGGGAGGAGATCGAGCGGGAGGTGAGCATCCTGCGGCAGGTGCTGCATCCCAACATCATCACGCTGCACGACGTCTTCGAGAACCGCACCGACGTGGTGCTCATCCTGGAGCTGTGAGTGGGCTGCCGGGTCCCGTGGTGGGCAGCAGGGGCAGGCCGGGTGACAGAAGCTCCAGTCACAGGCCCCAGAGGGCAGCAGCAACCAGACCTAAGCTCGGCCAGAAGACATGAAGTCAGTGGCGGGTGGTTTCCCTCAGTTTCTGCAGTCTCCATCTGAACGTGGGCCAAAGCAAGGACTGCAGGGACACTGCAGGGACAGAGAGCAAGGGTCTAGGTTGGCTTTCACTGGGCCCTGGGGATCAAAAGGAAGAAATGGCTGACACTGGGTTATTTCCTGGCTGGCACGCAGGTAGGAGGATGGAGGGGGTGGGTGAGGGGGGAGCAGGGTAGATTGTCAGGCAGAGGGCTGTTCTATGACCAAAGGGAAGAACAAACATCCTTCAGGCTTTGCGAGGCCCTTCTCCAGCCCTTTCCTGGAAAAATCACCTGCATTTGTGCTGTGACGCCTTTACTGTTATAATAACTGTTATTTAGAGAGCACTTGCCACATGTTTCTTGCTTGTCATCTGTTCAGTCCTCACGGGGACTGTGATGAGGGAAGTGTCCTATTAACACAGAGAGGTTACTTTGCATTCACGGTGCCAAACACATCTCTTACCTCATTTACTCCTCATACTAATCCTATCACACGGAGACTCTACTTTTGATCCCCAGGGCCCATTTTACCAACAAGAACACTTAGAAGCTGGTCATTGACCAGATGCGTTAGCCAGGGAGTGGTGGGGCCAGTGTTACTGGACCAAGCCAGGTCCAAACTCTCAATAGTTGCCAGCCAAATACAACTCGGAGGTGATTTTATGGGAAGGGACTTTATTGGTAAGCAGGCGTATAAGCAAGGAACGCACCAGGGATCACTCCCAGAACAGTGTGTTCCTCAAGCAAAGCATCTGATCCATCTTCATTGAGGGAAATCATGCATAAACACTAAGGTGAGCTTTGTCATTGCATGTGTAGGTGGGGACATTCCAGGGTACGGGCAGTTAGAGAAGATGGCTATACACACATCGGATGTTCGGAGGTGGTGGGAAATCTCTGCCTCTGGTTGGGGATTTTTGTATTCTAAGGAGAATGTAATGAGGAAAGTTCGTGAGGAGGCCACTAGAGGGTCTTTCAAGCTGCTTCAGCTGGTCTCATGGTTTCAGCTGGTTCACTCCTGATCCTGCAAAACATCCTGGGCTTGTTCCTGAAAAACAGTTCTGACAATCATCAATGTCGGGGATTGTGGTTGTTATGGAAGGAATTTTAGCTGATTACATCTTGGTTTCTGTGAAACTTAACAAATTACAAGCTGTGCATCACACAAACCGTATAAATTCTAGTGTGACCTAAGTGGGGTTACAGGTTAATCAAGGCAAAATTGTAAATGCTAAACAAAAAGTTAACTTACGCTAGTCTACCTGCTAGGCTCCACGTGTAGGTTAAGTTACACGAGGACTTGAGTCCACCCTGCTTGTGCAGACAGCTGTGAGCATGAGGTAGAGTGGCCTTATGCTGGCCCATTCTGCTGGAATTTGGAAAGGTGACACTTAGTTCTCAGGGATTGTCCCTCCCGGAGGTGTCTCCATGGAATGGGGATGTGGAGTTCTGGCAGACAGGAGAGTTGAATTGGGCTGCGGCACAAGCCACGGTGGGTGTGCCCAGTCAAGCAGCAAGTGCTGTACTGAGAATGTTCTGAGCCTCAGAGGCATGTATGCATCTGCCAGTTAGCAGAGGAGTGGTGGCATTTGTCTCAGCAGTCCGTGACTCTGTGGCTTTGGGCAAAGTCACCTCATCCCCCTGAGCTTCAGCTCTCATCTGTAAACCAGGCAGCCATCCTTAACCTGCCTATAGTGGGGTGGACCACCTGGCATTTGAGATCATTCTAATTTGAGAACTATGGTCTGACATTACCAGGATATAGATTTATGTGGCAGATGGGCATTTGCATGTTCTTGCATTTGATTCTGAAATTATCATCTCAATGTTTTATTTTATTTTATTTATTTTATTTTTCCTTTATTGATTTTGGAGAGAGAGGAAGTGAGAGGGAGAAAGAGAGAGAACATCGATTGGCCACCTCTTGCATGCCCCCACTATGAGTCCCGCTGGGAGAAACAGGGACATGTCAAGATCATCCCAGACCCCAACTCCTGGAGTTCTACAAACGGAGAAACGGACTGTTTCCCCAGCAATTACAGAAAGGCCAATTAAAATGACAACAAGCCCTGGCAGATTTAGCTCAGCGGTTAGAACATTGGCCTGAGGACCAGAGAGACCCAGGTTCGGTTCCTGCTAAGGGCACGAACCTTGGTTGCAGTTTGTCCCCGGCCCCAGTTGGGGTCATGTGGGTGGCAACCACTCAATGTGTCTCTCTCACATTGATGTTTCTCTTTCTCTCTTCCTCCTTCTCTTCTTCCGCTGTGTCTAAAGATAAATGCAAAAATGTCCTCTGGTGAGGATAAAAAAATAATAATAAAAATGAACAAAATAAAATGACAACAAAATATCAGTTTATAACTATCCAGGCCAATAAATCAGGCCCACAACCTGGGCATGTGTCCTGACCGGGAATTGAACCAGCGACTTCTTGGTGCATGGTCAACACTCAACCACTGAGCCACACCAGCCGGACTCATCTCAATGTTTAAATGCACAGTGTTGCCCAGTGTCCTCTGACTCCCAGTGTCCTCTGTATTTCTCCTGTGGACCTCTCAGCTAGTTGGACTGATTGGTGTATGCACCTGCCTGGGCCAGACGAGCCTGGTGGGTTCCCACCGTGCGGCCAGCCTTGTGGACAGCTCAAGGTGTGACATGCCCCAAGGCTAAGGGTCAACAGTTGGCACATTGATTCCCAGCAGAGAGTAACAAGCCTGCCTTCACTGGGAAGATCGGGCCTCCTTTAAAAAGTCTATTATCAAAAAAACTTTACAGGGACTGAAAAGAAATTACGTTCATAATCCTACCACCCAAAAACAGCTGTTTATGTTTTCTGTGGTTCCTCTGTCTTTATTTATTTTTATATAATCATCGTACTTATAGAATTTCCTGCTCTACTTTCCCTCCAGTTAATTAATTATGATTCCATAAATGCCCCCCCCCCCTTAACTGACTGTATCATGTTGGTCTTTTGGTTTTTGTTTTCCAGCTTTTAGCTTTTAATCATTACAAACTTTACTGCCATTAAGCAACTTTCTTCCCATGATGTCCCCCTTCTGTTTTGAATTAATTCTTTCAGATAAATCCTCAGGACTGGGATGGCTAGTCTGACATTTGTAGGGCTCCTGACACCCTCCCTGTCACAGGGCGGTGCTGGTTCACCGGTACCGCCTGCAGCACAGTGGCGTTCCTGTCGCCTGCAGCCTCACTCGCCCTGGGCCACTTGTTTTAAACAGGGTTCATTATTTATTGACTGGATAGTTATAAACTGATATTTTGTTGTCATTTTAATTGGTCTTTCTGTAATTGCTGGGGAAACTATCTGTTTTTCCCTGCTTGTAGAACTCTAGGAGTTGGGGTCTGGGATGATCTTGAGATGTCCCTGTTTCTCCCAGCGGGACTCCTAGTCACCCTACAGGGAGGTGCCCTCTTCTTGAGAGCTGTTACCATCCATAACATCCGTTGTCACCCTGGTGCGCCTGTGACTTGCTTGAGCTGCTGTGTTTGTTGAGTTCTGCCTGTCCCTGGTTTCTCTGTCCCCTCCTGTCCTTTCAAGCTGTCTCACTGCGCTCAGGGTGCCTGTCTGTGCACGGAGTGCTAAGAATTGCTAGGACTGTGCCTGAACCATGCATGGCCAGGGAGAAAGAGGGAGGACCTCCTGGGAGAGAAGGGCTTTTCATGGGCTTTTGTGTTTGAACTTGGTGATTCCTGTTGGGCTGAGCTGGAGCCTTTGGCCTCCTAGTCCTTACTGTGCCCTAATAGGTTAGTGGGTTTGCCAAATAATTAAGCATGGGACTTAGTGCCCACCTGTTTAATTGCAATTGGAAGGTTTTATGGATGGGTCTACACTGATACCACTGTCCCTCTCAGCACTCGTTGTCTGGTGTGGGCTTCCTCCTGATTTCTGCAAGAGTGGCCAGTACCAAGAGGACATGCTCAGCCCTGATTTAAGTCCCTTCCAGCTGTTATTACCTCAAGCATGACCTCCTTAGCAACAGCTGCCTCTGGTCGGGGCTGGTGAAGGCCAGGCTGGGAAGGGTTTAGTTGTCCATATAAATTGATTTCTATATGGTATAAAGAATATTTTCAAAATCTCAATAGATTAACTCATGTCACATGTGAAGCTTGCTCTAAAAAATGTAAGTCCTCCCTGGCTGGTTTTGCTCAGTGGTTAGAGCATCGGCCTGCGGTCCAGAGAGACCCGGGTTCGGTTCCCGCTAAGGGCGCGCACCTCGGTTGCAGTTTTTCCCCGGCCCTGGTTGGTGGTGCGGGTGGCAGCTACTTGATATGTCCCTTTCACACTGATGCTTTTCTCTCTCTCCCTCCCACTCTATCTGAACAAAAAATGGAAAAATGTTCTCAGGTAAAGATAAAAACAAAACGTAAGTCTGTCCTGGGAGGGTTGGACAGGTCTCCTGCCGCAGGCCCCTGACTGCTCTGGGGCCGCCTTCACTCTAAGCTAGAGGAGAGCGGCGCCCTGGTGGTTACACGAGAGGGCCTGGCAGAGGGCTCCCAGGCGGAGACCCTGCTTCCCAGCTCCCTGAACTGGGTCAGCTCCCTGGGCCGACGGAGCAGTCAGCGATCTTCAGGTCACTGCCTGCAGGTCTCTTGAACACACGCTCCCAAAAGAGTTCTGAAAGTATTCTAGCAGGGAGACCAACCTGCAGGGAGGAAGGAGAAAAGGTCAGATGAGCAGGAAGGGGACTGATCCTGGGGACTCTGGAAGGAGAGCAGAGGAGGCCCAGGCAATCAGGTTTTGCCTTTCATCTTTAAGCTAAACAGGTTTGGGATGTGAGAGGAGAGAAGCTTGGTGAGGAGGGGGGATGGTTCCAGGGAAGGGGTCTTGGGGCTGAGAAGCCCTGGGGAGAAGTATGTTGGGGGGCATGAACGGAAGAGTTGAGAAGAAGTGCCTGAGCATTGATGTGAGTGTCCCCAGCCTGGGTATCCAGGACTTAGCAGGCTCATCAGCCTCCCCCCTTTCTGAGTGTCTGGGGGAGATTCTAAGGGCCACTGTGGCTGTTCCCTTCTTCATTCAAAGGAGACATGGTCTCACCTGTTCTCCTGCCCAGATCATATCTTCAAAGAGAATGACTAATTACTGTCCCAAAGTTGTCACATAGCCTTCACGTCAGGGGCTTTGGGTGACCAGACACATCTACATCACCATGATATTCTTTTTTTAAAAAATTGATTTTAGAGAGAAAGGGAAAGAGAGAGATAGAAACATCGATGAGAGAAAACACCAATTGGCCACCTCCTGCATGTCCCCCACTGGGGATTGGGCCTACAACCTGGGCATGTGCCCTGCCCAGGACCTCTTGGTGCATGGGTCAATGCTTAACCACTGACCCACACCGGCCAGGCTTTTTTCTTTTTCTATATTTCTCACCCGAGGATATCTCTTTTTTTTTTTTTTATCTTCAGATAGAGTGGTAGGGGGAGATAGAGAGAGAGAAAAATCGATGTGAGAGAGACGCATCAACTGGCTGCCTCCTGCATGACCCCAACCAGGCTGGGGACCAAACTGTAACCAAAGTATGTGCTCTTGACTGGAATCAAACCTGAGAGGTTGACGCTCTTTGGTCCACGGGCTGATGCTCTAACCACTGAGCAAAACCGGCCAGGGCTCACCATGATAGTCTTTTATACATATGTAGCATTCCATTTAAGGGAGAAATGGCATGATGTGCCCAAGGTCACAGCCTCTCAGGACCCAGCAGGGTCTGAGACTATAAAAATGCAAGGGCTGCTGGGTCCTGTGCACTTCAGAGAGGACACTATGGATTTGAAAATTTGCAAAGGGCTCTAGACTGGTCTCTTGCAAATGCCAAGGCTTCACCTCTATATGATCTAGACTATTCTGTCATGTTTACATTTAAAATTTTTTTTCTTTCCATTGTTCTCTTATTCACCTACCTTCTATTGACTGTCTCTCTTGCACAGGGTGCGGCGGAAGCAAAGATAATTTAGCTGGGGCGATAGATAATGATACCCAGGGTGGTGAGGGCTTGGATGCTGCTGAGCAGGGATGTCAGAGGACTTGTCCAGTGCATGGGGGGTTTGGGCTTTCCTTTTCACCTCAGCAACTCCAGCTTTATTAAGTGGTGGAACAGAGATGAGAAGTTCTGTATCTAAATTATGGTTCAGCCACTTACTAGCTGTGTGACCTTGGGCCAGTCATTTGCTCTCTTGAGGGCCTCAGTTTTCTGACAGAAGTTCCATCTACCCCTCAGGGTGGATATGAGTCTCAAGTGAAAGAACGCTTGAGGAAGCACATGGCAGAGGTGGCAAACTCTAAATAAACTCTAAGTCAAGCCTTCCAGCACTGTCACCCTGGCAATGAGGTAGTACATAGTATTTACTTAAGGACTTGAATGAGGATCACATAGCACTTGTCCAGTTTTACAAGATTATTTCCACTACCCCCCTCCAAAGGGGGCCATTAGACTTTTTCCCCCCTTATTCCCATTTTACAGGAAGAAAAGCTGGGCCCTGGAACTTTCAGATTCTCTACCCCAAGGTGAAGGTAGAGTCTGTACTGGGGAAGGATCAGTGCCACAGTCCTGGCCTTTGACCTGGGCCTGCAGAACAGACTCAGAGTTATTCCTTCAGCAGCTGCGAGGGTGCTCCAGTTCCAGCACCTGCCCCAGGGAGGGGTGGGGCAGAGGATGACCTCACCCATGAGACACGGGGAAATAGTGCACCCGCCTGGCCCCTCACACCCAGGCACAGTCTGGGCCACGCCCAGCACACTGTGAGAGAGGGCACTACAGCTCTTGCGGACAGTACCCCTGCACGTGCCATCTTATCTCACCCTCTCTTCACCCTCTCAGCACCCCCTTCTCTCTTTTCTGCCTCCCCCTCTTTCTCTAAATATTTATTCAGCATCTGTTGTGTGGAAGACACTAGACATAAAGATAAGTACCTAATTCACGGCTCCTCCCTTGAGATGCTCACAGCCCAGTACGAACATATACTTCTGACATCTGTCCATCTACTTAAGGGAGATGTTTTTGGCTCCATCTGACAGATGAGAAAGACTGAGGTGGAGAGTGACTTGTAGAAGTGGCAGAGCAGCATTCCAGAGGCCTGCACCTCACCTCCAAGGCTGCCCAGTGCACAGGGACTTAGTGCCACATACATGCCCCACGCTTATCCCTATCTCTGGGTTGTTTATGCTGTTTCTCCGGCTGTCACACCTGTCCTCATTCTCTGCTTCCTCTGTCCCAGCCCTGCCCAAGTCTCACTTGTTCCCAGAACCTTCTCCCACCACCTGAGTCCATGATAACCACATGTAACACAAATAATAACATCACAGCAAAGTCTCCACGGAGGGAGCGCTGTCGTGAGCCGGTCCCTGTGCCAAGAGCCCTGCTCAGTGCACTGGCTAACTTGCTCGTCAGAACAAGCCTAGCACGTAGACGTCTCATTACCCACAACGTCAGAGACTTTGCTGAGAGACTTTGCTGGTCCCAGTCACACGCTAGTACATGGAGACAACATTAAACTGCAGCCAGACAGAGCTTGGACATGGTCTTGACCACGCACTCCCTTGCTGCTGGGACACTTTGCATGGCCACTTGCCCTCTGGTGGGCCTCAGTTTTCTCATCTGTTATGAAAGAACTTCCATGTGGTGATAGTCATTATGTGGGCTGTTGGCCGAGGGACAACGTGGACCCTCCTCCTCTGGAAGTTTGTTATTAAGTTCTATTTTGGAGAATTTCAGGCATATACAAAAGTAGAAAGAGTAATGTAAGAATCTTCGTATGCCCATCACCCAGCTTTGACTTATAAACATTTTGCCAATCTTGTTTTTTTTCTCATAATTTTTTTTCCTATTTATCATCAGATAGAGTGGGAGGGGGAGACAGAGAGAGAGAGAGAGAGAGAGAGAGAGAGAGAGAGAAAGAGAGAGAAACATCAACCTGATAGAGTAACATTGACTGGTTGCCCCCCGCACAACCCGACCAGGGCCAGGGACACTGTAACCAGGGTACGTGCCCTTGGCAGAAATCGAACCCGCAACTCATTGGTCTGCAGGCCGACGCTCTAATCACTGAGCAAACTGGCCAGGGCTTGCCAAAGATATCATTTTACAGTTGTTTTAGTGAACTAGCATCCAAATGAGATCTCCATACTGCATTTGGTTCTTTTTTATTTTTATTTTTTTAATCCTCACCCAAGGATATTTTCCATCTATCATCAGATAGAGTGCGAGGAAGGGAGGGAGGGAGGGAGGGAGAGAGAGAGAGAGACATCGAAGGCCGGGAATCAAACCACAACCAAGGTACGTGCCCTTGACTGGAATCAAACCCAAGACTCGTTGGTCCAAGGGCTGATGCTCTAACCGCTGATCCACACCAGCCAGGGCCAGAGGCCATCTTGTATAAAATCGAAGAGAGGGGCTCTAGGAGCCATCTTGGTCAATTTGCTCACTTTGCAGGTGAGAAAACTGAGGTCTGCTTGGAGTGGGGAAGTGAGTTGTCCAAGGTCAGTGGCAGGGCTCCTTTGGAACCTAGGTCCTCAGTTTCTGGCCCATTTGTCACTTTTTTCATCCTATAGCACTTGTTTTTGTCCTCTGTCCCTTAGTCATATGTGGAGGAGAGGTGACTCACAGGGTAACCAGGGACCTGGGCCTAGAGCATTAGCAGAGGCCTTTCTGGGGACACCCCCATGATGGTTCCTGCCCTTGTAATTCAAAGAGAAGAACAAATAGAAGCAGAGTCAGCCCCTGGTGCTGGCTGGACAAAGCCCAGAGAGGGGCGAGGGCTTTCTGCCCACAGGGTGCTCAGGGGCCAGATTCAGGAGCCGTCGGCCTGGCCTCGTCACACAGAGCTGACGGGCCTCCCCCGGTCTCTTGCAGAGTGTCCGGAGGAGAGCTCTTTGACTTTCTGGCCCAGAAGGAGTCGCTGAGTGAGGAGGAGGCCACCAGCTTCATTAAGCAGATCCTGGACGGGGTGAACTACCTTCATGCCAAGAAAATTGCTCATTTTGATCTCAAGGTCAGTGAGGGGGGTGGTGAGGGAAAAGAATCTATTTAGGAAGAATGGACCCAGTTTCTCCCAATGTCATTGCCAAGAGGGGTCATTGCCCACATGGACCTCCTCCCTCATCTTACAGTTCAAAGCTCAGCTCTGGGAAGGAAAGTGTCCACCTCCCCAGTTTCATTTAACACATTAGGATTTCTTCACATCGGCAGACTGCAAGAAGCTTCTTAGACAAACCACAGGTACCTTATCTCTTTCAGAAAGAGGTGGTGTGTAATTTTTTAATAAGTATACCAATGACAGGAAGCTTGAAACCAAACACATTTAACAGGGTTGAACTTTTCAGTAAGCAAGAGCTAGCTCCTGAGGAGGCAGAACTGGAGGCGTTCAGAGGGGTGGCAGAGGTTGGCTGGCGCTCCAGACCCTGCCCAGCACAGCCTCCAGCATCCCTTGACCGGAGGTTGTAGATCTTGGAGCCCAAGACCACTGGCCTCCTTCCCCCACCCTCCCTGTACTGTAGCCATCAAACTGCTTCCGGGGTCCACTGATCACTTGTGGTAACTGTTCTTTACGGTCGACAAAGTTCACAGTGACCACAGGACTTCATAAAGCAAGAGTGTGGTCAAAGTACAATTATCTGTTCCTGTAGTCACTGAGCTTCTTTGCATAGACTGATGAGCTCGTGCAGATACCTGAAGCATAAAGATCTCTAACCCATGATCAGAGGGACCTGTTTATTGGGAGGAGACTCACTCACTTTTCTACCCAGAAATTCCTGTTGTGTTTCAAGCACAGTGCAGGGTGCCTGGGAATTGTACAGATATGGAAACAAGTGAGGCCCTGTCTAGGCCTTAGTTCCTCTTTTCCAGGGAACTTAGTGCAGGAGAAAGACAAGGAAGGTCAACCACTCTGAGTGCTATGATAAAAGGAACTACGGTGGGGTTGGGGGCCTAAAGGAGGGGGCATCTAAGTCAGACTGGGGCATTTGAGAGGGCTTCCTGGGGAAGGTAGTGTTTGGGTTGAATTTTGAAGGATGGGTTGGCATTATCAGAGGGGAAGGCTCTTCTTAAGGCGAGAGGCCAGCAGTGTGCATGGTCCCAAAATAGCACAATGCATTCAGGGAAGTTCAGGCAAAGGGTGGATGCTCTGAATGGTTGGAGAAGAAGTCAGGAGGAGAGCGGGAGGCAGACGTGAGGGCGTGGGAGCTAAAAGAGATGTGCAGGGGGCCAGGTGAGCAGGGAGGTGAGGTAAGCAGGTGTGTGTTTCAGAAGGATCCCTCTGACCAGGAGGATGGGTAGAATGGTGGCAGCCTGGAGGCTGCGGTCCCAGCTAGGAGGTTAGTGCATTCATCAGGTGAGACATGGCAAGTATCAAACTGATTTGAGGAGGGGGCAGATTTAAGACCTATTTCAGAGGATGATCTGAGGATTGACCGGATGCTTAATTTGATGTGGGAGATGAAGAAGGCAGAAACTAGGATGACACCCAAGTTCTGATTTGGGGGACTGGCAGAGGGTGTGGCATGCCCGTGGTTTCACAGTGACTGCACCAGAGCATGGGCTCAGTTCCAGAACGTGGATCTTACCCCCATGCTTATTCTGCACTGTGAGATGATCTGTTGTTAGTCCCCTTAGCATGGTTCCCCCCCTCCCCCCAATGCCGATTCTCATCGTCTCACTGTATATTGAATTCCTCCAACAAATGTGTCTTACTGAGCTTCACTTAAGTGTCAAGGGGTAAAAGTTGGGATCACTGAGGAGGGTGTGGCCCAGGCAGACCTTTGGACTTCAGTGTGTTAATACACTAAGCAGGAAAGGCTCTGCCTGGATTACACCTGTGCCTCCTTCCTAGTACTTCTATGGACAGTTAACTTGTTTTCATGTCTTCGCTGGCTCCAGGAGACTGGCCTCACATGGGCTCTTTGTCTGTTCTCTAATGGTTTTGGTAGAGGCAGGAGGCCCCATGACTGCAGCAGGCTCCCTGCTGCTCGGTTTGCTTCTATGGCCGCTCTCAGGGGTGGGGGCTGGGAGTTAGCCAGGTCAGGGTTTGAGTCTCCCTATACCGTGTACCAGGACACAACCGAACCTCAGTTTTTCAGCTTCAATGCAAATGATAATACCTGCCTGGCAGAGTTTTTGTGAGGATTAGAGAGACATGGCATGAAGTGCTGAATACCAAATAGGTGCTCTGTAATAGTAGCTGGTGTTGTTATTTCCCTTTCCAGAACAGAGGAAAAGAAAACACAACTCTTGTTACAGTGTTTGGGTCCCAATAGACTAGGAAAACAGAGCCTGCCGGTGCAATTCTAAATTGCACAGTGGAGAGCCGAGATTGGTTGCTAGGTGGGGCTGCTGGTGGAGGATCTCGTCTGTCTCCTGGGCTCAGTCTGGACATTTTTCACAATATGGAGACAGTTTGGGTTTCTCCTGGATGCGTGTAGGCGAGGATGCTGCTAACACCCGCCCTGGTCTTGTATCCTTAGAGTTGTGTGGACTCTGAGCCTTCTGGCTCCCTTAGTGGGTCCCTTGGCCTGAGCCTAGCAGCATCTTCAGGAAGTGGTAAGTAGCTGGAACTCATTGAAATGACCTCATGATTGGGTAGACACTTTCTGAAGCCAGAATGTGCGTGTGTGCACCCCCTCGGCAGAAACTTTTCCCTGGAAGGAGGGGGTCATACAGAAGGTTCAGCTTAGAGGGAGCTTCTTGGTTCCATATTGTCTCCTACCATATAAAATTTATTCTATATGAATATATTTTTATTCCTGGTCTTCATTCTCAATAAAGGGTCTCTGTTTTCCTCTCCTTTTTCATCCTGTTACTCTTTTATTCTGCTTCACCAAGTGCTGCCATGCTGCCCTATGAACATGGCCACCATGTTGTGTCCACGTTCCTACCTGTTCTCCAATCTCACTTTCCAGCTTGGAGGAGCAGATGATGGAGGCGGGTCAGCTCTCTGGCCTGCCTTTGGAATATGAATGATCTCTACTCCTATGTTTAGCCATTGTGCTGGGGATGGTGAGGCTCTGTCCCTGCTTACGACATGCTCTCAGCTTTGTGGCAGAAAGCAGATAAATGGACAAATTGATGTTGATAAGCAGTCTTGGTAAACAGATCACGGCATGCTATTGCCCAGAAATCTGTAATGGATCCTTATTACCCATAGGACAAATGACCCCATTCTCAGCATGGCTTTCAGGCCTTTCTTAAGTTGCCTTAGCCTTGATTCTGGCCTCATCCACTTTCTCCAACATTAGCCCCAGGCAACAAGACCACAGGTACTGTTCTGGCCTCTCTCCTTCTCTGTTCATGCTGTTCCCATCCAGGAAGCCGCTGCTCTTCCTTTTCTTTGCCTGGACCTCCTGCTCATCCTTCTAGGCCCAGCAGAAACATTATTTCCTTGGGAAGACTTTGCCATCCCTGTCACCTCCCAAAGCATAACTAAGAACTAAGCTGCCTCTCTGCTTCTGTTGCCCTTTGTACAGACTACTGCTGAGAGCATCTAGCCGTGTGAATCACTTTCTGCTGCTTGTGTTCAGCTCAGTGACTGACACACGACAAGTTACTCAGTGCTGTGCAAATAAGTGAATGAATGAATGAATGCCTTAGTAAGACCAAATGCATGAGTGGATGGCAAAGGCCCTTTTATGTCACCTGAAAAAGCAAAAAGGTTGCAGGCATATTTCAATTCAGTGATGTGAATATTTATTGAGGGACTCTTTTATGCTTAGAGTGACAAACATCAATGTGATATATATAGCACCTGCTTTCCAAGGGCCACCATCTACTGGAAGGTGACCATAGTGGGACTCAGTGGGGAGGCCACCTGAAATAGAAGCTAACCCAGGAAATGTTCACTTCCAAGGGATAAGCTCTCTGCTTCAGCAGAGTGAATACCATCCTGCTGTGTGGTATAAATCCACCACAGAAAGGCCAGCTGGTGTGGGCAGGTAGGTGAAGGTAGATGATGCTGCCCTGTACTTACACAGATGGACGGGACACAGGGGCTGACTGCCCCTTAGTACTGGCAGCATCTGGAGTGCTCTCAGACATGCCTTCCACTGGATGCATTACCAGGAAATGGGGCTCAGTGCCACCCAAGCGCCTCACCCTGGTATGTGATCCTAGCACAAATAAAGGCCTTGTAAAGGGCGTTTTTATGCGGTTTTGTGTTTATTTTGGAGTTGGGAGTTTCCTCTCTGAGTAACCTTAACCTGATTCAACTTGAGAATTCAGAAATGGAAGATAGCTCTCAGGTCTGATTAGTATTTTAAGCGAAAAGAATAAGACATGACAGTTGAATGAAATTGTACGCAAGCCAAGAACCCAAAACTCTGAAGGGACTTTTTGATTTATATAAATCGTGTTTAAAGGAGTGAATTCCTGAGCAAGATACTCCAAAAACCCAAGTTCTTCTATGCCCTGATCATCCTCTGAGCTGTTCTTATGTTCATGATGTGATGGGTCTGCTCATCAAGCTTTCATAGGAATGATGCTAACAGCACTGTAATGTGTATGGTGCCTTCTACAATACAGCATATGTCTGTTCTTGTCTGATTCTCGTGGCCACCATTGAGATGCAAGGTATGGCCACTTTCACACACAAAGCCATTGAGATTCAGAGAGGTTAACTTGTTCAAGATCACACAGGTATTAAATGTCAGGGCTTGGACTTGAACTTAGTGAGGAAACATTAAGCAAAGCTGAGTGTCACCAGCTTTTATTTCACCAGATTCTAACAGTGCAGATTTCCTCCTTGAGTTACGCCTTCTACACACAGTTAATCCAAGGCCTATACTGTGCTATAAATGTATTCTTCACACAGTTAATTTCTTGGTCACATTGTTTTTTCTTTCTAATAAGCTATTCCTCATATCTAAATAAATTAATTTATATTTTCTTAATTGCTATAAAATGTACATGCATTTGAAAGTAGAATTTCCAAGAGGGAGTAGTATCTCCCTACTAATACCTGGGGGCATGGAGTGGAGGTGAGACTTGGCAGAGATTTAACTGTCC